CAATCATAATAATTCATATGGACATGAATAAAGATGAAAAGAAACTAGTCTAATATACGTACTATGTTTGAAACAAAATCACGAGTAGTGTAACAGTACAGATAATTTACACGGTATGATTAAGTTTCAAAATATCCCAGAAATAAATGAAAAAAAAACACATATTTCGAAATAACAGTAACAATTTATTCCCACTATATCTTTCAACGTTTCTTTTCTATAGGTATATCTTTTCGTTTTCCATTTGTATAATAATAAACTTAGATCACCAAAACGACCGAGCCCCTAGGTCACGAATAAGGTTTCAAATGTCCATAATTGAAACGGACTTTCCTCTAGAGACACATTCTCCGTAACTATTGTCGAGAATATCCAAGGGAGAGTGCGTGTTGCTTCACCGAAGGAAACGTTCGCGAGGTGAAGGTTATTTCGCGATGGTATGCAAATGGAAGCGCGGTCAAAGAAGGGAGGTTAAATTTCGTCGAATCCGACCTTCGTAGGATGCGACGTTGTAAGGTACGGAACGACCTCGGCTATTCAGACCAGGTATACGCCTATGTAGGTGAGTCGAAATCGTCTGACCCCGCGTGCACGCGACGACTTTCCCTTCCCTCGTTTTATTGATCCACCCTCCTATACAAATAAGCTGGAAGCACCCTCTCTCTACGTACTAACTTCCAAGGAAATCCACCTCGTCCACTGGACGTTCACCTTCTTCTTTTCTTCCCTCTTCTCTCTGTTTCTCTTTCCTTCTTTATCCTCTCTGTTCTCTCGAATCCACGATCCTTCCGCCCGGAATAAACGTTTCGCGTCGCCCCCCCCCCCACCCTAGAAATAAAATAAAAATACTCGAAAATAATGTTATTGTCGGCGGAACGAAATGACTTATATTGGCTCCCGCGTCGCTCCTCAGAGCAAATATCACGAAATAGTGGAAGTTCCTTAGAGCTCCACCTACGTGCTCGCTTTTCCGCCGTTCACTCATCCGCTGGAAATCATAAAAGTAAAGCGAAACTGAAAACAGTCTCGCTAAAGCAGGATGATTTATATTTCTTCTTGTTTCACCTTTCATAAACGTTGAGGGGTTGAAGATTCAACGAAAAATGTTCAACCTCTGACACTGACTTCCGTTTTTCTGGGATACAATGGACCTGCATTCGGTCGAAATTTCTCTTGACATCTTCCTTATATATTTGATTTACACCAAAATACAATGGAAACATAAACTTTAAATATATTCTCAAATTTCTGTGAAAAGGGTCCATGAGGGTACCGAAAGAAGATTTCACAAATTCGATATATCTTGTCCACCATGTATAGCATCTTAATACGTTAATTGTCAGACATACACCTTTAAAATTTCTAACAACGTCGGATTAATATTTCTAATCAAACAGGAACTTATAAGTAGACTGCGGAAGTTTATGCAAATTTAGAAGTTCCGATACCAATGTCTAAAAATTCAAATGGAGCAGAATTTCGAATTCTGAACAAAACTTTACCGCGTTAATAATAACAAATAAATAGTATTGAAATTTATTAAAACCTTTATCTAATTGCATTTTCCAAGTACAGAGGTGCTACAAATGCATAAACATCCGGAGTCTAGTTATAACTCTGGATTTAATAGGCCCAAATTACATTCGGTTTATCTGGTGTTCTATAAATTTCAAATTCTAGTTCGAACCCAAACACTGTATCACACACATTTGGATAATGTAACAGTCAAAGAATATTAAACCATACGAGTCCTGTTCTCAATCGGTTAGACCACATTTACCCCTGAATCACCACTAAGAACTCTGCACTCCAACATTTTGCTCGTTCCGCCAAGAATCGCGGAGAGTCTCTTTGAGCGAAACATCGGCCGCTATTTATGGGCGACGAGACACGAAACTGTGCTGCCCCGTGGCCACGAGCGGTGTTGGTCGTTAAATCAAAATGATTTACATCGTGTACCAACGTAACCGCGGCCGCGATAATAGGTATCACAAAGCGACAGAAGTAGTTTGTGCGACGCGTGGCTGGGCCCGTAGTACGCGCGGCGAAGGACAGTTCATTCATCGACGTCAGTCCCTGGACACGTGGTGAATTCGCGGGATTCTCGGGCGAGTAACCGCGGTAGGAGACATATATTTCCTGTAGGAAATAAATGAACCACGCTCGCCGGACCGACCGGCCCCTATTGTTAGGTGTTGCTAATTAAAGTCGTAGGTTCACGGTTACCGATCTATTCCGGTAAATTGCATCGCGGGCCCGACCCCTGGACCACTTTTGACCGCGGGCATATTACGGCAGAGATTTACGTCTTGTTAACGTCACGGTTTAGTTACGGGCCCGCGGACTTGCGGACACCGCTACAAATCATTCCCGATAATCCGCGCAAGCGCGCGACCAAAGCCTCAGCCCTGTGTTCGCGTATCCGTGCCCCCGTGACTAAATATAACCGCGGCGATTCTGCTTACACGTAACCTCTCGCCGATCTTTCGCGCCCGGGTGAATTGTTGTGACCGGTTAATTGAATTGAATTATGCGACTACATGGTTGGATACGCGATTCCAGCTTATATAAACGGGAGATTCACTCCCTTAGGACATTAATATGGTCGTAAGTACCAAAATCTCGAATGACTTTTCTATTGTTCCTTCGATGGTGTAGTAATGAGTCTAATAAGTATTATTGTTTCTTATTGGTGACATACACGTTAAGGGGTTACGTACCTTCGAGCTGTTGAACAAAAGGGAAAATTAGTTTTGTTGGATGACTAACCATTTGTTATTCTTGAATTGACAGAGCGCTAGCTTGATAACTTCTGTGCATCCGCCGTTTCTCAAATACGTTATCCGTCATCGCTTCGATTTTCATTTCAAAGTCTGGTTTTGTACAAAATTCGGTTTTTCTCCTATTTAGTTGCTAAGGGCCTAAGGTCATTCGGCTCCCTCCTAATACTACTGTATACATATAAGCTCCCCGGAAAGATGCGGAGGTCAGATCTAATTCAGACACGAGACTCGCAACATCGTCAGTAACAATTCAATTCCATAGTATAGTGTACTTAGTCGTGTCTAAATGCAAGTCGTTTGTTGTAAGCCTTGCAGTTTCTGAAATACATTTATTATATTGTCATCAGTGTATTATTGACTTGCCGGGTTTCCAACAGTTTGTATATGCAGAATTATTGTGTATTAAAATTTCAACACATATATATTATTATATGTTAGTTCTTTGGTAATTTCTGAGAAATTGAAATACATGTCTATCAACAGAAGAATAATGATTACCACTTACAAGCGTTTTAAAGCAGAAGTACAATTTAAAAGACTACTGAACCTATTTGGATCAAACTTTGTGGTAATATTCTTAAGACTAAAATCTAGTACTTGTCGAAGCGAATTTTTGATTCGTGCATTTCTTCTTTTTTTAGTAATAAAAGTAGTTGAATATTTATGTCGAAAATTATATATAGGTTTAAGTTCAAACAACCGCAATTTTGTAAAATATTGATATTTTTAAAATTGGCTTCTATAAGTGCCAGTTCCTTTTGTCTACTTTTATATAAAATTAAGAAAACTTGTCTTAGATATATTTGGTACCGCAGATGGTGTTTTGATGAAACGGGTTACAATGAAATGGCAGCCATTTGCTTCTGTTGATACATATATAGCTCCTTTTTCAATAATTACTAAGGAAATAACATATAACAAGATGTATTTGTTAAATTTTTTATAAACAATAATTTTGTACATACAAAGAAGTTTTTTAATTTCCTCTTAATTTAACACCTGAAAGGTATGTAACCCCTTAGGAGGTCAATGGGACAAATGCACTAGTACATCGATTATCCGAACTAATAGGGAGGTAAATCTATTCTGATGAACGATTTCTCAGGTAATTCATCCTGGTAGGCTACAGTTTCATCTTTAGCACTTTTACTGCACGTCACCCAAATATGGCTGACACGTACATTGCACAAAGACTGGATTATTTAAATACTGTTACAAAATTTTTGCGCATAATTAATATCACAGTATAATTTAAAACAAAATAATCTTTAGTAACTAAATACATATATGTATGTATTGTCGGCAATTATGACTTAAACAACGAAATAAAGTGTGTCTGGCTACGGCTTTTTACTGAAAATTTAATTCTACATACTGGGCTTCAGTTTTCATACTTTCCACTGAATCTGAAAATATGGCACAAGCAAAGAACATAACTTCTAATTGGATCATTTAGAATTTAGAGTATATAGTAAGAGAAAATATTTAACACAAACGATTACTATGAAACACGACGTTGAAAGGAATAATATTAACAGCTGATTCTTGCTAAAATTATCTGTTCACTCTTAATTACTTAAACAAATCAATTCTCAAACTATTATGTTTTTCGTAAGTACAATTAAATATCCTTTTAACTTTTGTACTCAGTAACAGACACCAAACTGAATTTCAGAACGCAGTTAGTCTCCTTAACGACCGTTATATAATTAACTTAATTCCTTTACAGTCCACAGGAGCATAAAAGCTCCCGGAATGTTACGTTTACATCATCGTATTAACACCTTCGAGCTACACAACATTGTCTCAACACAAGATTTCCTATGTTTTCAGAAGCAACAAATACACCCAACGATGATTTACAACTTCCCGTCGTACTTCTGCCCCGCTGTTTGCGTTCAGGCAATAACCGACCCGCCATAAACTCCGTTTAACTTAACATCGGTATGATCGTTGCAACACACCTTGATCAAGAACCAGGCTAGCCAAGAATATAATTCTCGACTTCTGACGAGCTCGAACCGTTTATTAAGTATTCCCTCAAAGTGGGTGACACCTACTTCTTTATCGTGACAATAATTTCCGCCCGCTTCGAGCTCGTTCCTCCCGAGCTTCGAGTACCGTACTTTATCGTAGCCTACCAAGAAGCGGCAATTGATACCTCTTAAGTAGGTAAAGCGCCTTCAATTATCGCGTGGTCTTTGAAACGGAACTCACCTCCTCGCCCCGGACGTCCCTGTATCGAACCCATTTTCCGAGCTTCGGTCTCCAATATTCCAGCATGTAAGCCTCCGAGTATTCGACACCTTGCCCGTTACCGAAACGTCCTTGAGTGCCGGTGGCGGTGATCATGTGGACCGTGTGAAGATCGATTTCCAGCCACTCGCGTGGTTCCGTCGTGATCTGCTGCTTCGGGCACCAGGCGCCCCCGTGGCTCTCTTGCCTCAGCCTGCAAGGGTAAATATTTACTCTGGGATTATCGTCGTTTATTTTTTCTTCAACCGGAGTCCCCTCCATCCCCGACCCTTTCTCTTAGCGAGAAAACCTTTTTTTAACGTGCCTCCACGGGAAACTGGAACGTTAAATTATTTCTTGGGAATTGACACGCTGCAAACTCAGGAGACAGAAATGCTTTCTTCATAGATTTTATGTTATGGTTAACTGTGATACTATTCAAAGTTTATATTTACATTTGAATTTATACTCATTTGCTTAATTAATATTGATTTATTTGGAAGTGTTTTGGATATAATTTCAAGACTGTTTCTCATATCCGCAAGGGAATCTTTGTTCGATTTTAACCATTTGCACTCGAAATTTGCTAATTCTTCGTGAATTGTGTCCCTTGAGAGGGGACAATCGAGTGCAAAGAATTAAATCTCTTTTTACTGTTTCCATGGTAGGGTTATGGTATTGTACGTATAGTAGTGGAAATATTTATTGCATGACTTGAATACTAAACACGTTATCACCTATAGCTCTGTTATTATTAGTACTGGGAAAGTTAATTAAAACAGATGTTTGTTGCAAGAACGTGCAGCTCACTATTTTGAGCAAAATAAATTGGATACGAATCATTTTATCAATTTACCTATGTAAAAGAAAGAATTCTGCAATAAATATTTGTAATAGGTATTGTAGTTGAGGTCGTCTTTATGTAAGAATAGTCAGAATAGTCAGATCCTTGTGACAATTAATACTATATTAAAGTGATAACAAGTTCTTAAGTTTTATTATGTAAATGCATAGACTACTAATATAAGGAAAGGCACTGATCTTAAAACTAATACAACTTTGAAGACAGAATATTCTTTGAATTTTCATTACAACTTCAGCTACAAGCTGAAAAGCTGTAATGTACATAGGTATACGTATACACATAATAAAAGATTAATTACTCCAATTTATATTAAACAACGTTCAAACCTATACTACGTTTGCAACAAGTGGTTGAACTCTTTAAATTAATATGTACACGATGATTAGATTCTATTAGCAACAACTTATTAAATGGTTCTCGTGAAGAAATCGAATAATAATCTTGACAATTAAAAGAAAATTAACGTTTGCAAAAATTATGTCAATTCTCACATCTCACTCTGCCCAATGTAACAGATAATAGAATTACCAAATCCTCAAATTTAGACTAATCAGACTAAACCTCTCGTGTCTATTTATTTAAACGGCGTGTAGAGGCATTGTGATTGACGCGCCGATAAAAAAGAAAGCCTCTCGATAAGACGAGAGCGAAAGAGGATGAGAAGGTATAATCGGAAATGTTACATCGTCGCAGAAAGGAAATCGTATAAATACGTGATCCTCCTCGCGGCTGACGGATAACCGTCACCTCGCGCCGAGGACGATACGGGGTGAAATTATAATTTATCGATCGAGTCGAGCCACCGGATGGCATGAATTAAAGATGAGCCGAGGAGGCATCGCCGCGCCGCGAGAACGCCGGGGGAAGCCACTTCGAGCCGGCTAATAATTGTATTCGCACATACCTTTCGCGAGCTCATCCACGGCATTAAAAAGCTCTACCCAGCTCCTTCCCCTCGACCGTACCGTGATTGCCGCGAAAAACGCGTCTCGCGAATGTAATCCTGGCACGGTTTCTACGGATTGTCGAAGAGAATCGGAGAGAACGTAGGTACCAGGGCTCGAATCTAATCGTCTTCGTTCCCTCGTTTGACGTCTTACTCTACGTCGCTTATTACCATTTTAGTTTCTCATTAACCGTTATCTCGCTCTATAAATGTTTTACTGTCGCGTTGGGTGGCGCGTATATGATTCCCGGGGATTTCGTTGTACCTCTTCCTGGACGATGAATTATTAACGAACCACTTTGCAAGTAGATATATCACGTAGATACGTTTCTGACGTACACACTGCATTTGATTTTGTTGTATTCACTTACAGGCAGATGGTTCTAAGCTGATGTAAAATGCGTTTACCGACAGAAGCTAGGGGATGAAACTATTCGTACTATTATGTACGGTTGCCTCGGAAAGTAAGTTAATGGTACCTTTAATTGTTTGGATTTAGAAAGAATGATGAACGTCGTTTTGCTGAATCGAATGACGTTCTTGTGCTCTCTTTATCATTTATTGTAGTCACTAGCGTGTTCAGCAATTATTTTAGCAACATTTTGGCAAAATATTAGATTAACCCTTTCATTCCCACCGTTGCCATATGACTACGTATTCTGAATTACGAAATAAAATATCGGTATCATGTATTCTTTCATATCTCTGAGTATACAGAGTGTAACAAAAGTGATGTAGGTCCCTGAAATGGGTCACTCGTGAGGTGATTTGGAACAAGTTTTTCCTCAGCAAAAATGTTATCCGAGGCTTTGTTAACGAGATATTAACGAAAAACTGATTGGTTGAGGTCTTTCGTTAATATCTCGTTAAGAAAACCTCGCATAACATTTTTGCTGAGAAAAAACTTGGTTCAAATCGCCTTATGCGTGTCCATTTCAGAGGCAGGCAACATTTTTTTACACCCTGTGTAATAGTTTCTTCGAATCTTAAGAAGATATTATTAGGCCTTTGTTTTTTTCATTTGTTGGGATTCAAGTATTAACTAGTCTTATTAATACAATAGAAACTCACAAAAATCTAATTTCTTTCAAATATCTCAGGAGGGTTTAGTGATTAAATTTAAGAAAAATTGGGTTTTATTATATACAATAACATTATAGTGGGAATTATTATATATATGTACCTGTGATAAAAGTAAAAAAAGTTGTCAAATGACAACGAATGAAAAATAACATTAGACGGTTTCAAATGGTTAAAAAGTAATTGTGAATTATTTATATGTTATGTAATATATCTACACAAAAATACAACGAACTATTCCTTTATAATTAAAAATATGTTCCGAGTAAAAAAATTTAGAAAAGCAGGAGACTTCTCCGTACCGGTAGCGTACGGAATATGTGTCTTCCGTGTCAATGAGGGTTAAATGCAGTTGGTCGTTAACTTACTTTTCGTGGCGATTGTACGTTTGTGTATGATTAATATATGGAGTATCCTGTAATTTGTGTTATTTTATTTTTGTTTGTAGAAATGTAAAGACATACTGTATATTTCAAAACTAAAAACCCCGTTCTAGTAATTATCAGTCCAAAATAAATCTTGAAACCGTTCGATGCGTGGAAACTGTTTCGGAGAATATATAAATTCGCCAGGAAAATGATCTGTATGCATTAAACATCGAGCCCAGCCAATCAGTTTTATCATTAAAAATTTAAGTGTTTCGGAGAATATATAAATTCGCCAGGAAAATGAGCTGTATGCATTAAACATCGAGCCCAGCCAATCAGTTTTATCATTAAAAATTTTTCCGATAAGAGAAGTCAGATCGAAGGTTCTCTTCACACCATCAATTCCAAACTCAATTTTAAGTTTCGAGAAGGAAAAAATACAACGGCCCGAGAAGTCAGATCGAAGGTCCTCTTCACACCATCAATTCCAAACTCAATTTTAAGTTTCGAGAAGGAAAAAATACAACGGCCCGTTCTGTTCAAGATTAGTTTTCGAGCTGGGCCGCCCAGAAGATCGCAAAGGAACCGGCATCGGAAGCGTGCAACACTTTCCGAACACGAAATGGAACCAAGAAGAAGGAGTAGTCGGTGAAGAAGGTAATGGGCTAGACTGAACGAATTCGTTCGGAGCAGAATTGCACAGGGTGATCGAGAAACATACAACGGTAACCGGACAAAATATTTTTCCATGGTGATATTTTCACTGTATGTATAAAGATTCTGTTAGATAGTTTCAATGCAGAGTAATGAAAATTATTTTTGGATGGTGTTCTATTGAAGATTGTGGCACGAGTTGAATCTGTTATACTTTCGAAAGTATGATATCGGTTACATGTGTTTACTGCAATAAATTAACAGAACAAACATTCAAATCAAATTGAAGTACTATACTCAATTTAGGATTTATGTAGAATGTAGGACCAACAGGTGGCTCTAGATAAGATTCAGTCATCGTCCACATCAATAAGGTTATGTAAGGAATGACCTGCTCGGAAAGACATGTGACTCCTTGCACTTGCGCGTCGCGGATTCAGTACCGCTCGGTCAAATTATAGAAAGCAAAGTGCAACTATCAGTTTACTATTAAACTTAAGCTGATGCCCAATCTAACTCAGGGGTGACGACCTCCTGTGCCAAGGGCCACATTATCCGCATCATCAGTCACTCTACCACGTGCGGCTCACAAGTCGCCAGTTCGTCACAAGAACAAGATAAAGACAAAGGAGTCAAATAGGTATGTATGTAGGGGATCGTTCTTCAACGGCCCTTCAGAGAAGGCAACTAGGGGAAGGGGCCACAATGGCCCGAAGGCTTTCAGTTCGTCACCCCTGATCTAACTCACTATAACATGAAGATTCACTATATTCGATGTACAACCTACACTTGCATAACTTGTTCAAGTTACTATAACATATGCAGTGTTAGCACGTATTTACGAATCACCTTATACACGTAACAGCCGAAAGTGTCCGCAATAAAGAGACGATCCACCGGCTTCTCAAAGGTGTCAGAATTTTAAGTGTTGCTTTGACTGCGGAGGGTAGTTAAAGCGGAGCGTCGGTCTGCTTCTTTCGTTTAAGAAACCCACGATCTTGTTCCTGGCGAGAAAGAAAGGACAAGGAGAGGGGGTAGAAGCGAGCGGAGAAGAGGCGAACGAAGAAGAAAGGAGGATCCAATAGTAAAGGTAAATAGGAACACGGAGAGTCGTGGCCACGACACAGGGGGAGGATATCCAGAGCGAACCATAACTCATAGCCCATTAAGAGAGCTCGAACTGCCTTGGCTGCCACTTTGATACAGTCCAAGGCATCAAAGACATTCCGTACGCGTGCGCGCGAGCGCGTCACCCGGCTCCGCGATAAATCTCCGAACAGACGATTACACCCGACTTGAGCCTGCGAGCTGCCGCGTCGGCGGAATCGCCGAAAGCTTTGGCCCGAGCAATGACCAAGAGGCTCGATTATCGAGAAGAATGGTTTGTCGTACGCGAACGAAGGGAGTCACTCCTAACTACTTCAGACTTACGGATTCGGTGGATGATTTGTTACGACGACAGGAGGGCGGCACACCTTCCTCCTTTATTCTTTCTCTGACCCGATGCAAGCCGGGCGTGTGTCGTTTGATGAAAACGTTCTTCCGTGAACGTGCCCGGCGATATTGGTACAGGAACGATATGGTTGGAGCAACCGAGCAACACGCGAGAGAGGACGAACGCGAAGACGGGCGATGCTGTCGGGGAGGGTTCAAGGGTTTAATCGTTTACGGGGCTGGAATTTATCTTCGCTGTGTTGGGAGATGCTTTGTTTGTTTCATTTTTTTTTACGAACGACAGGAAATTTAGGAATATACATATTGTTTACATGTATGTCTGAAAAATAACGTGATTGACAATATATTAATTTAAGCATTCATCAGAAAAATCAGTGATCATATTTCTAAAAATCATACGGTTTATTCAAAGCTCATTGATCAGTATTTGAAATAGTATATTCTCAATTCGGATATTTTTCAGAGATATTGTGTATATCTTGTAGTGGGCGTGGTTCTTTTGTGGGTGAATATTTAGTACTTTTTATCTAATTCAATATTTTTATAAAAAACATTCGAAACGAATAGTTCTCGATGCTTATGCATCAATTTTGTTAAATAGGAGAATGCAAAGGTATCTACAAAGTATGTCGAGATAGTAAGAATAAATGATTAAAATAATCCATTACAGCCTAAAAGTGTCCATAAATTTACTCTGTTTTTATATTATTATTTTATTTTATATTTCATTTTATATTTCCTCGGATTATTATATCGCAGCTAAGGAAGACAAGAATACTATTTTATATTAACGGAATACAGTTTGAAATTTTATGAATCATGTTCCTTAATGCGAGAGTCTGTCTAGCTCTTAATGATTTTCAACAACTAAGAATAGATTGTTCAATATTAAAAATTGATGGAAAGACAAAGAAACAATGAATATAAAATTTTGAGGAATCATACACTGAGGGTGAAGTGTTGACAAGAGTACAATTCATATCATCGATAATCACATTTCGTTGTGGGTACTTTATTTAATACATACTTACAGAATACTAAAAAGAAGTCAGCAAATTACAAAAAGTGAAGTCAAAGAATCAGTTAAAAAGCACGGATTTTGTATAAAAAGGTATTGTATAAAAAATGTATTTTTGTATAAAAATTTTGTATAAAAAATATTCGTACTTTAAGGGGGTCTTTTATGGAGACCACGGTATTTTGAGGAGAGCGTACACGTAATACGAGTTAGATGCGCGTATTTTAGGGTAAACGGAGTCGTATGGGGTAAATAGGGTATTCACCGGGAAGCCCGCAGTATCAGGAAGCCATGAGAGTGCCGTTGAAGAAGGTCTAGACGGTCTATTGGCGAAGAGTGCTCGCAAGCGACGATATCGGCATTGCATCCAAAAGGCTTTCCTTGCTTTTATATCGCATCCAAAACGAAAATATCATGGCAGATTCTCACACATTACGTCAGCTATTATCTTTCCGGGCAAAGATATCATTTCGAAATGGAATCTCGTGAATCCTGAGCATTTTCGTGTCAACTTTGTGTTTAAACTAATGCCACGTATATATTGATATACGTTATATGTAGGATATATGTATAACAGACAGGGACCAAAGAGTTATATTTTTCGTAGTTTAACATCGAGTTTGTTTTCAATTTTGCCCAATAAAATTATTCATTGCGTGGTGGTAAATTTTTATTTATGTTCTATTTACATAAATTGGTGATTAACCCTCTAGAGTTGATGTACAAACTTTTCACGTAGTTTATTAAGTCTAACAGACACGGCATCAGTCATGGAGGGTTAAAGTATTTTTAGCGAATATACGTGTTCTAGTCAAATTGCGGACGAAAATAATAATACTATAATTTTATACTATTTATTTATTTTCCTGAAGCATTGTCTTCCATATCAAATGCACCCATTTACAAAATCTAATTCAGCCGAATAGAAGCGACGTTACAGTTGGAGCGCGACTCAATTTGCAGTAAATCCCCGAAAATCTCATCACCTGTTGCTGCAGCTAACAACAACATCCATACAATGAAGAAAATGCTCCCAAGACATAAATAATTCAGGTTTCATTTAATATTCCATTAGAAAGAATAAAAATACCGGATGACCTCCAAGCTCGTAAATCCAAATGTAGCCTGTCCGTTTATTTTACCCGAAAAACAATCGAATGTTATCGAGGATATTCAAGGGTCACGTTGCAAAATGTTTTTTCGTGGTTAAACGATTCTCGAGCGTCAGCTCATTAACGCCATGGGTGGTCCGTCTCGAATCTTGCAGTTTGGACACCGTCTATATACGTTCGTCTAGTTCTCCGTTTTTCTCTCTCTCTCTTTGTTGGTGGGATGGTAATTAGCTGGCACGTATAATCAAAGGAATACGCGGAGGCCACGTTAACGACGCCTAAGAGGTTCGAAACGGTTCGATACAAATGGCTCCGCATGCGGGACACGCTGCACGTCATTAATCCTCATTGCGAGGGCTCGAAGGCCGAATTAGACGTGCAGTTTAATAGTCGGTGATTAATACGGTGACCGCTCGAGTCCCGATCCGTGGGCTATCTCGGGGCCGTGGACAGGATGACGGACAGGAAGAGGATCATCCGTTTAAGCCGTAGAAAGCATTCAGAGTCAGAAACGTTATCGTGCCGGCCGGCGGCCGACGGTTTTCTTCTTTCTCTCTTTTTTTTTCTTTCTGTCGTCGATCACCATCGCACAATTGCCCGAGCATCAATCTGCATCGGGTTTTTAAAACGTCCGAACGTTGACGTCCTGACAAATCGTCTCTTCTTTTTTACGAGGAAGCAGACCGGGAATATTATTTAGTCCGATGAGAGATTTATTTTGGATTTTGGTTGGACGACCAGATCGATGTTGGACATTGGTTATCGCGGAGATGATGGATGGAGAATCATTTTTGTATTTTGATGTACAGGGTTTACCATAATTTTTTATTGCGAAATGGTAGGTTATTTAATTTGAAATTATGGTACAGGTTATGTAGGTACGTACTTGAAAGTTAATTAGGTACTCGCTGAAGTATAGCGACGATTTGTGTTAAGATATTACAAGTTTTTTTAACTTTCATAAAATGTTATGTAATATAAAATTGTCTGATACTCGGAACGATGGAGAAACATATAACGATTCACTCTGTAGATATTACAATTTTAGTATACCTGAATGTGGAAATTACAGTAAAATAGAAATGCCTATACGATTTAATAACGTTTTCGTAACATTATTCTCCAGATAGAACTCTTTATAAAGAAAATACGTTTCTCTTTAACGAAATTTTTTGTAAATTTGTTTATAAAAATCAGAATTAACATAAACGTCTATAGTGTATATAATTACATACCAAAAATCAAGAAAGATATACGATTATATCCCCATCACTTATCTAAATTTAGTCTTGACAAAATATTATAAGAATAGTAATAACTAAAAAATCGAATTTGCCTGCTTTCGGTTCAGTGCACCAATCACATTTTGACGTTATACAGAGTTCTCTGTACTGAATTCATCAAAGAAACTGAAAATTGCTCATTGGCGCAGATAACACGAAACTCACGTTTAAAAATTCCGTCAAAAAAAGAAGCTCCTCTTTACTATGCTAGAAAAGTTTCGACGTTCTAAATTGAGACATTCAGGTGTCCACGGATGTCTACAGCGGAAAAGCCGAAATAAAAACTTCAAAAGCTAATTGAAACAATTGTGACCGTTTCATACTGTTCTTAGTAATCCGCGAAACGATTCGTTTGTTCTTTCGTCAGGGCGAGAGTTTGCAGTAGTGTCTTTTCCCGGTGAACGAGCTTCCAATTTATCCCCCAAATAGGTCGCTTAACGAAGCGCGCTGATTTCGGGAAATTGCATCTCTGTTCCCGTGCGCCGGGTTTACAAAGGGGGCAGGTGGGAGGGGGTTAATTTTATCATATTTCCGAAAGCGTATTGCATCGCATCTGCATAATGCGCTCCATAAACGGGAACGGTAATATACGGTAATTCACTCACCGTCCGTGATGTGGCCCGACGTTTCCGCTATCGAAACTCGAGCTCGCTGTGATGTCTGCATCGGGAATCACACCAGATTCCATCCCCAGGGGTGCGATGCATTGTGCTGCAAACAAAGGAAATTGCTTTGATTATATATACGTCCATATTCGTTCCGTCCGCAGTCTTTCGCTCGCTAGGAGCGTAATTATCATTCGTACTTTTCAATTGTTCGATACGACTCTGGTACTAATCGTACCGTAAGGTTTATAGAAAAAAGTTTGTAATATTTCATTCACATTCAGCGACTACTATTTCGGGAATATCTTTTCGTTCTATTTTGTATTCGTTGCGATGGGTAATATACTTCTGCACAGAGTCCACACACGCGTTGTATATTTATATGTTATAATTTAAAAATTAGGCTCATTATAAGGAAGTATATTTCTTAATAAAATTTAATGTTAAAAAAAAGAGGAAGAATCTTTTTTCTTAACGGAAATGATTATTGTTTGAATTAACGTGCGCATAAATTAGTTCACAAGGCACAATAATGTCATTCTCATTTAAGGGAAAGAACACGTGTATAAAAAATAAACAGCGAATCTAAGTAATATGCTTCCGAAATCTTTAAAATTAAGTTACTGTAAAAATATCTAGACAAAGACATTCCATAGAGGTTTCACTGATCGTACAGGATGAAATTTAACACTTTGTAAGGCCTGTATTACGTTATCGTTATTTTTTTACCGCAATATTTATTCCAAATGCTTGAAAACTGTTTATACAGGGATTTATATATTTCATTCAAATAGCTAAATAAGGTGTCTGAGTGCTGCCACCATTTTATACCATCTCAGAGGACTTCAAGGAAGTAGTAAATATTTGAATGTCCTAGCCGCGTTCTAAGCACATCGGTCTATGGCAGCATTTGTAATATAAGTGATACTACACAGTACCGTTAGGATATAAAGGGTTAACACGTTCGCTATCAGCGTCACATATGTCTGACGCGACGACCTGTAAGTCTGTATACTTTATTAGATAACAATGTTCCGTCGTAGACCGAAACGACGGTTATACAGTCAGACGATACCGTTACTTTTTATTATTTCATTTCCTTTATTCAAGCAATTTTAATTTCGTTAACACAAAGAGAATAATATACAAAAGAAGCGAACATTTGGTCTGCAGTCTGCCACATGCGCTCGGTAACCTGGGACCCATCCGCGCCGGGCCTTACCGGGGCGCGCTGACTCGCAGACAATATAGCCATAAAACCCTACCGTTGAGAGACTCGAAAATTCGTCGCGGTCAACTCGCACCGCGACCACGTGCGCGATATTTTCCTGACGTCCGCTTCGCCCTGAAGGAGAGGTATTCCACCTCCGCGTCGCGTGAAAAACCCGAGAAATTTGCCTTCCCCTTCAGGGCATCACCAATAAGGAGGCGAGTTTTGGTCACGCCTTCATAAAACTTTGAGGAAGCGCGACGTCACACGAAACTCGGACAGACAGTCGAAAAGATACATGCAGTCGAAAACATTCAATAGAAAACACTCGTTCGCAAACACTCGTTCGCAAAACATACTCGTTACGACTAGAGTCACACGGACTCAATTCATTCGCATTAACTCGCAATCGAACAATCATTCGACAACATTCGCATCACGATTCGCCAGCTCCAACGGTCGAGCAATTATTCGTTTTTCTCACTAAAGAAATTGAAACAGTTGCCTAATATTAATTTGGCGGGCAACAGTTCGCAACCGGACGCGTACCACGACGGTCGAGCCTGGAATTTACAACTCCAGGCGGATTCGAAAGAGAAATCCACGCGGACGGACGCGACAACAATCACAATGTGTTCTGCAATATTCGCCTACATTTTCTAACATCCATTCTTTCTGTTTTATGTCATTCTAACACCAAATCAAGGTGGTAAGAGTAAGCCACTTCATAGAATGATGGAGACTCAACGTGGTCCACGATCAATGTTTTCAAAATATGTAATTCGGTGGTAGCAAACGTGTTAATAACGAGTACACAATCATATCATTAACATTCTAATAAACATATAAAAAAAATTATAAGATTTCACGTGTAAAGAAATCATTCCACTGTTACTTTAACAAGTTTCCACCACCATGAATATGCTAGCAAAAAGTTCGCGGCGTAAAGGCTCCCATAAACCAACGCGAAATATTTGCAGCGATAGATTTTTTATAGATAAATTTTGCCGGAAATTTTTCGCATTGGTTTGAACAGTCTCATAAGTTGCCATGCATTTTAAACTGTTGCGAATCTATCGCCGCGAAATATTCGCTGCCGCTGCGAATATATCACGTTGGTTTTTGGGGCCTTTTTAAACGAGCTAGCTGACGATCATGAACGACTTTCGGAGCAAGGTACAGGAAACAGCTGCGTTGACCGCCATTCCAACCGGGCGTATTCACCTTCCGGATTCATCGAGTTTCCCGAAACGTGGACGCTTTCGTTCCCGCCAGAATTTCTCGCTAACCGATCGTATATTATTCTCCTATTCCCGGGAAATCCAATTCCGCTGCGGCAGTTGCGTTCCAGTAAACAGATCTCATCCGCTTTGATGTTTTTTCCTCATGGACGATCGTTTTCATTCGCAGTGGCGACGGCTCGAATCCTGTTGGTCGCGTGTTCCGCGACCGTACAACGGTGCCCCGTCGTCGTTTCAGACGTGTAATTTCGGATCGCGTACGAAAATGTTCCTCGCGCCTCGGCCTCGTGATCGAAAAGTGTTTCTCCGTATCGTAATTATTGTGGCGCGCAACACACGCCCAAACGAAGAATCGCACGATGCATCCGGGGTCCGCACGGCGTCGGCCATAATCGTGACTTGTTTGAGCTGCGTGTTGCGAGGAAGCGGGGCGCTCGAGACGTGTAATGAAAGCTCGATGAACCGTATAAACCAACGTAGTCTCGCCGTAAATATCGGAGAGGGATCGCGGATCTCTCGTCACATGCCTGCGATGCTTCAAAACGAAACATTGGGATGGTCTTTTTCTGGTTTTCATTGCACTTGATGGATAGCAGAGTTGGGCACAATTTTATTCGAATACTATTCGACGACAGCAAGGTGCAAACGGAAAACTGCAATTTTGTCGATTTTCACTTTTTTAAATAAATAGATTTTAAATAATGTTTAGAGTCTATTTATGTAAACAAGTAAATATCGACAAAATTGTAAAAATCATCATTATTTACAGCTAATGCGATTAATTATTATAATTGTTTGCTAAGTGTCTACTCATTTAAGAAGTATTATTTTCTAATAAAATTTGGGTTTCCCATGTTCGAACGACTAAAAATGACGAAGTACTTTTTTATTTTCTATTCGTTATCTGAAATTTTTAGTGTAGATAATGAATTTGCCTATCTCATAGATAGTACAGTAATGATAGAATAATTTAGGAGTTGAAATAGTAAATGATGTGAGTGCCAGAAGTGAAGATTTTTATGTGTCTGTCGATTTTGCGACTTACATCGTTTATCACTTGAATCCTATGGATGTATAGAATAAATTATTCCAACACTTACAGTGTTTATTACTGTACTCATCATAGAATTCTCATACTTTTCCACTAAAAAAGTTATTTGTTATTTGTACTTGTATTATTTAGGCACCATTTCAATTCCTCAATTGTTCACTCTTTAAAATTGTTAGTATATGAGCGATACGATCTTTATTTGCACTTTGGTATTTCCTGAACGTGATCGACGAGTAGAGCAATTTGGAACAAAATATTGGATCGTGTCTTGTCTGGTACAGGCGCATTCCATATATCTTTTAAATTCATACAAGTAGTTCAAATTTCTTTTCTTTTTAAATGTACTCCATTAACAAAAATTCTTCTCTCCTTTAACCCTTAACTACGGACGACTCGTCCCAGAGATGAATGATCCAACAACGATTATGTATTTTGCCACACGTTTAATAGCCATTTGAATGTTATTTTTCGTTCAACTTGTGGAAACAGTGTACCACTTACTGTTAATTGACGGTACTCCAACGCTAAAGCTTTCAAAACTCTCCACTAAAGCGGCGATAGTAATATAAAAATTCAGAACCCTGTACGAAGTGAGTTGTCTGTAGATAAGGGTTACATCTACCTCACTTAACACTAGAACTATCGATGTTAAATGTGTATATATTTGTATCAGATCTACAAACATGACAAATTTTTGAAAATATTCAAATTTATAAATTAACTAATTTCTTCGCTTTTATATTGCAATGAATGTTCTGAAAGATCTGAGAAAATGTATTGTCGTGACATTTTAATCAGCATTAGAAGTTCTGGTGCTAATGAAACTATCGAAATGTTGCTATGAATAAATTAACTATACAGAAATTGTAAGACACACTGTACACCTTCAAATATATTTTTCTGTCTCTAATCTCCCACTAACTGATCCAAAGCCGTGACCAATACTGTGATACACATTCTACAAGTACTTAGTCTTTTGAAGCTGAGTGTGTCAGTGTAATTGAAAGATGCGTAATACAAATTTACTGTCCAACGTTGCCGTCGACACTAAGGTGTGTTTTGGACCAGGATAGGGGAGAGGACGAATGGTTCGACGTCCATGCGTGCATGAAGTATTTTCTTTTCCGCGAGATTAAGGTCCTAATCCGTGTGGCGAACTTTCATTGTAAATAAATTTTTAACGAGACACACACACGGGTACACCGAACAAGTCGCGGCCTCGTACAAGTTTTACGACTCGACGGCCGCTTATTTCTGGTAATTAACTTCTCTACATGGAGGCACTTGTTCCTGGGAGTTGAACCGACGCGGGTACAACACCGTTTTTGCTGTATGAAATTTCGCCCTGTTGGTTTTTCGTTCCTCCTCCACCTCCTTCCCTACGACCATACCAGTGAACGCTAACACTGTGCGACTACAACGTAATCCTTTCAACGATGAATTAAATTTTTACCACGTCCGTTTCCTGACGTTTTGTTGTATTATTGAGCTTCGAGGCGATTCAATAATCGATTAATTTAGTAGATTATGGATCTTCATGGATGATCACATTTTCTTGGAATAATTCGCGGGAAATAAATTTAAAACGGAAATCTACTTCTTTT